TCGTGTTTAAACATTTTTTTTTCGTTTTGTTACAACCTTAACTTCATTTTCCAGCCGGTCGTTACCTGTTATTAATTTTTTTTTTTAGCATTTAAAATACGCTTTGGCACCAGCCTATTTTAGGACGTCCACTGGATAAAGATAGGATGAAATTTGGTTATCCAGAAACATCCTAATGATATCTGAATGATGATGTCCTATGGATGTAGAATAAGCGGACATTCGAACATCCTCAATATGTCCTAAATACCTCCTAAGTTTCTTCAGATACGTACTCAGGATGTTTGAAAATCCCTCGACATACGTCTGTAGGATGTACCTAGGATCAATTTTTGCTATGTGGGAATGCACGATAGTTTCGTGAACATTTCCGCCTCACACCTACTACATTTAAAAATCTGTTGAATAAATTAGCACCTATGTGAATTTCTGTCGAAAATAGAGGCAGGTCAATTATTCCACCTCATATACAATTGTTGGCTGTTCTGTGGTTATTAGCAACACCCGATTCATATCGGTAAAATTGTACTTGGTTTTTAATTGTAATAATTATATAATAATATAAATATTAATAAATATTTTAAATACATATATTTTTAAATGTTATATTTTATATGCATTATATTTCATAAATATAATTTTTTTCAGATCTGTAGGAGAAAAATTTGATCTCGGGAAATCATCTCTTCATGATTCTTTTAAAAGAATTGTAAATGCAATCAATAACTTAGCAGATTCTTTAATAGCATGGCCAACACAAGATGAAATGAACGATTTGAAACATAAATTTTTGCAAATTGGTCCTTTACCGGATGTGATTGGAGCAATTGATGGTACACATATTCCTATAAAAGCACCAAAGGTTAGAATAGTTAATTTATACAATTTGTTGTAAATACTTGTCATACAATAGCGTATTTTATACATTTCAGGATAATTCGTGTTATTATATAACTAGGAAAAAGGAATATGCTATCACATTACAAGCTGTTTATGATACGAATCTTGTATTTAGAAATTGTTTCGTGGGATTTGCTGGATCTGTTCATGATAAAAGAATATTTGTAAGGTCTGATTTATGGACAGAAGTGGGACGCAATAAAAGAAATTTTTTCCCTCATAATGAATATATACTTGGAGATAAAGCATATCCAGTTCTGTCATGGTGTATACCACCTTACATTGATCGTGGAAATTTAACACCGGTTAGTTTAGGTTCACAACCTTGTTTTAAGAGACCGTAAGCCGTATTAATTAGAGCCGTAAGCCGTATTAATTAGAGCCGTAAGAAATTGACCAATCATAATTCATTATTTTTTTCATCTCTTGACCGTGATTGGTCAATTTCTTACGGCTTACAGTCTCTTAAAGCAAGATTGTGAACCTAGACCAATATTTATAGTATTTTATTTCTATAGATAATACACTAAAATGTTTCTTTTATACTTATAACAAATTTTTTATTACAGCTTCAAATATCATTTAATAAAAATGTATCAAAGATGAGACAAGTCATAGAGCGTTCATTTGCATTATTAAAGGGTAGATTTCGTCGATTAAAATACTTAGATATGTCTATTATTAAATTAATACCTGATGTTATTCTGGCTTGCTGTGTTTTACACAATGTATGCCTACAAGGGTGTGATGAAAATAACACAGATTTTATTGAAGGACAAGAAGATGCGGAAGTTCCAAATAATAATCCAGAACATTGTGAAAATATTCGCGATGGAAGGAATGATCCAACTGGTTTAGCAAAACGTGATTATCTTTGTCATCTTATAACATAACAGCAAAATTTTCGTATACAGGGTGTCCCATTTTAATCTATCGGTCGAAATAACTTCGAGGGGGATGGTTTTATCAAAAAATGTTTAAGACAAAAGTTACTGGGGTTGAAGGGGGCCGTCCATCGGTGACCTTGACCTTGACCTTGACGTCAAATTTGAAGGTTATTTCAGGATCAAATCGCGATTTTTAAATGGAAACCCCAATTTTTTATTCGGGATATCGAAAGAGCGGGAAATTTCACATTTCAACACGTGGTCATGTTTGATCCAAAATGTCCTCTAACAACATTACAAGGTCAAACGAATGGATTGGTGATTAAGACTATTGTATGCAGATGCGCAAAACATAATAGTTGCAAGGATTAAAGGGGGGCGTCGAATGATGACCTTGACCTTGATCTTGAGGTTAAATTTGAAGGTTATGTCAAGGTCGAAGTATTTTTTCTTGTCATCAAATGGAATGACGTATGACCTACTCGAATATGACGTTAAAAGACGGTAGTCACTTTTGCATGAATTTTACGTTAAATACTGTAGGGTTTACGTTAGGTTTTGCGCTTAATGTATGTGTGTACGCTGCGCAGGATAGCGGCAGCGCAGCGTACTAGCGC